GCGCTATTGATATGTCAGTACTGGCGGATCCCGAGTACGTAGCATTCGGTCGCAGTTTATTTGCATCAAACGGTACGTTTTGCGTAGCAAAAGCAAAGTGGTCTGGATTGGCGTCAATGCCACTGAGGGTCTGCTCCAGTTTTTGTTTTGTTTTTGTTATGGTTGCCATCTTCACATCATCACTAACTTTCCCCTTGTCGTCGACACACATCAGCGTACTTGGACTATTGATTAACTATTTATACTATTTATAGAGAAAATTCCGTACTGGGAACCACTGTAAAACCCGCGGGAGAATAGTGTGTGAGCACGTGTACTGTGCTGTAAAACCAATCTAACTTTGAATCGTGCGTGTACAAGTCTGTGTATAACTCATAATTTGCATATAGTGTTCTAACTTGCTCATGTATGCGTTATATCTATCCCAGGCCTTGGCGACAACGCAAATGGGTGCGAATTAATATAGCTGTATATGATTCTACGTCTATTTATCAACTGACTCCTTCGCACAGCCATATCACGGTGGCGAAAGTCTCTTATTTCTGTCCGCACACCACACTTCAATTTATTCGGTTAGTTCACTAAGTGTGCGCTTACTGTAGGGACCTGGCTGTGACACACGTATTTACATGTACTGCATACTGCGTGTTGCTGTCAGTAATAAATAGTGGGATCGGCTATTACTATCACATAGCCCTCTTTGTTCACTGTTCAGATGGGTAAGCTACTATTCTTCGTAGTAATTTTTTTAATATTATTTATTTATAGCCGCATTTTTATTTTTATGTATTTTTTCTTGTTGATATAATAATAATATGTTTGACAAATTGTATAAACAATAAAAAACAAAAATGCCCTAAAAATATCTTTGCCTCCTTTTCTAAAAATCAGATACATATTTACTTCACATTTTTGGTTTTTGGTTAATCTTTGTGTATTTTTGTAAAAAAAATTATTTGTAAATACTAGGCGGTTCGGATGGGTTACTTTGGTTTAGAGACATCATGTGGTCCAAAATCAAGAGTGGGGGGGACTGTAACGACTAATAACTTTGACAGAAACCATAGAATGATACGTCATTAGTACGGGTTTTTTTTTTGCTTTGAAATTCTTTTCAGCTAATAGCTACGCAAGGGGCACAGTCATCACTTCACAAATATATGTACGAATGCTAAATATTTAGGTCAATATTGAACCAAAAGTCTGAAAAATGCACTCAAATATATAAGTCCTTAAACGCCTATGTCTAAAATCCAGGGGGCGGGGGGGGGGGGTCTCTATCCCAAAGTAGCACATCCGAACTGCCTTACTGTATTGTACAGTCGAAGTGTATTTTTATGTGTGACAGTATTTATTCTCAAAAAAAAACCACGCGAGTCAGGCCGCCACTCAGTGACTCGGGCGTCACGCGCGCTCGAGAGACCGAGACTCAGCCACATATTTTAAGGTGGGTCTTTTTTAATATTTTAAAAAATAAACGGGATCAGAAGTTTGTAACAAATATTTGATTCTGATTTCGATCACAGAAAGTAAATACGACTCTCGAGTCTCGAGTTTCGAGTGCAAGAATTTAGGTCTGCGGGCAATTCTGAGTGCAATTATTTTACGTACATTTCAGAGAAGTTTGAGAGAAGTGACTCATCATTTCACTGAAAGAAACCAGGAGTCCAGGAGCCCGGACCCAGGACCCAGGGTCCCAGGTGGAATTTAGAGTTGTTTATTAAAATCAGAAACGATTACCGAAAAATGTGCTAAATACCCCGTAAAATATGCTTCTGAAATCTGAATACGTAATTCTGATTTTGAACCAAAATTTTACACGAGAACAATTTTTGTTCTCGATATATTTTCCTTGTTCAGAAAAAAAAGTCATTTCTACATATTTGAAAAAATATATATGAGAATTGTTGCCCCCCCATCTGATTCTGAACGTTCAAAATCAGAAATTTCTGATCCCGTTAAAAAAAAAGACACGCTGCGGCCTGCTCGACGCAGGTTGAAATGAAGAGGCGCGTTCAGTGTTCTCTGTATTTATGTAGTACACGTCCTGAATCAGTCTGAATCGTTAAAAACGGATACGATTTGTTTTTTTATGAAAACGAGTTTAATTTTTTCTTCTTCTTCACAATTTTGCACTTCTTGAGGGCCTAAATATTTATTTACACCTATTTCTTTCAAAAAGACTGTATTTAAATAGCGAGCTGAAGTCGGGTATATATTTCTTTGCCGAAAAAAATATGATAATGAGTATCCTACTATCCTTGAAATCATGCACCATATAAATTTTCATAGGGCTATATATTTATATTTTTACATTCCATAGCCACAGGAGTTAACAGTGAACACTTTTAGTTTGTGGCTTTTAAAAAAAACAAAAAACAAAAAGAGTGAAAAAGACCGAATATTTAAGGGATTGTGTATATGTATACGGCACCCGTGACTACTAGGTCCCGCCCCAGGCCCGCCACTGCCACCCGGCCCGGTGCACAGGGTCGGTAAGTCAGTATATGTAGGAGTGTATGTATGCAGTATGACTCGCCTACTCGGTATGCGTGTGCGGATTGGAGTATGCTTGACACTCCATTGAACTTGTTCACGAATCAATACAAATATTTAGTTTAAGAATGTTGAGAACGTAGCTAATTTTAATTTGCATATGAATAGAAAATGTATTGTGCGCCACTTTCACTACAGCGGAGTGGCTGTAGACTGTAGACTTGCAGTGCACTGAGTGCAGTCACTGCAGTGTATGCTACTCTACTCTCTACAAGTAGTAGAGAGAGACTGTAGGAGTCTCTAGAGCATCCTATTAAATCATATAAGGTACATACGCACAAGAAGGGTATGGATAGTTGGGTACGCGCAAGATTAGGTACTACCGTACGGGCGTACGCCGTACGGTACTATGTAAAACAGTGAGTATTTATAACAATAGTCGTAAATACCGTAAAGCTATAAATCTACCACTACCTATTTAGTAGTATGAGAGTGTAAACTCACTGTAAAGTCGGTACTTTGTAGTCATATTTGTGTACACACATATACACACACACACACACACGTGTACACACACGCACACACATGTGTACACACACGCACACACATGTACACACACACACGTGTACACACGCACACACACGTGTACACACACACACGTGTACACACGCACACACGTGTACACACACACACACGTGTACACACACACACACACATAAACACGCACAAACACACGCACGTGCACACACACTCATACATACACACACAAATAGTACTGTACAACAAAGTCGTTCTCTGTTTCAACTTTTTCAGATTGAATAATAATAAATAAGCGTTTCCATTCAACTTTTATAATATACATAAAATAACAGCGAGGAAGTCTTGTGATGAAATGTGAAGCGTAAAGTGTGAACTGTAAATTCTCTGGACTGCGAACTTCTCTCTCTCTTAGTCTCTTATACTCTCTCTTCTCTTGTGTTGTATTGTGTGTGTGGGACTGTGTGTGCGCACGTGAGCCATGAGCCCGTGACTGCTTGACTGCGTGTGTGTGAACTTCTGTTTGTGTTAAATGTATCTATTTTAGTGCAGACGGTGAGCCGGTGAGCCGTTGCCCGTGAGACTGGGTGAGAGTACATACGAACGGAAATATGTCGTACATTCTAGTATCAGATTCAACCCCCGAGAGAGAGAGAGAGAGTGATTGTCACTGATTGAGTGATCGAGTCGAAGACTTTAAAGAGTCGAAGTGTGAAATTGTTTTTATATATAAAACTTTTGTTTGTTGTATTTTATGTAAAATTACAATTGCTCTTATACATATAAAATAAAACTGTAAATATATACATAAAACATAAAAAAAACTAAAAGTGCCGGTCAAGCCTATTGGAGGTATTTAGAAATAATCCGAACACGAGTTCTAGTCCTCAAAGCTGGTCCAAAAACCAAACAAATGCGACCCCGGCCGAATATATTAGGACTGTAAGGATGAGTTTGAGACGCCACTACCCAGATTAGCCCCAGAAGCCCGAGACGAAAGAATTAAAGAAACAACCTCCATGATGTGGCCCCATCCCCCAGGCCCCAGCAGTGATTCCATCCTTAGCAGACAAGCCGTGATATATTGGTATAAATGTCATTTTTCATTTCATTGTTTTTTTGTAAAACATAAGAAAAAAACTAGCTCTATATGTACTACTCTCTCTCTCGACTACGCTCATGAGTAGAGAGAGAGTCAGAGAGAGAGAGAGAGAGAGAGAGAGAGCTAAATATTTATAAAAAGTAGAGTAGAGTAGCTTTTAAAAGAACCGGGGTCTCGAGAAGAGACCCTATGTACTTCATGGTGATAAGGCACACACTAATATTGGCTCAAATCGGGATTTCTCGACGGTTTTGAGCTTCCCGCGTCGTCCTGAAAAATGTGAGCTGGTCAATTTATTTACTAGTAGCACCATTATTTTGAAACTTGACCTGGCAGATTTTGGACGAATTTTGCAATATGCCCAAAATGTACCCTTTTGACCTATATAATGGTGTTACTGTGCTCTGAGAGTCTCAAACTCATCGGATTTGAACTCCCCGTGTCCGTGTCAAGAACCAAACGGACATTTGTCCTCAGGAATTTCTGACGGACAGAAATTTTGGTTATTTCGGCCCAAATGGGTGATTGTGGTCTCATATAGACCTCAGACATGACCCCACAGGCCCACAGCCCCACACCAAATAAATTTGAAAAAAAACTGTCTATTGCATTTTTGGTATAGCTCTCAGAATATGGAGGAGCATACCGTCCAAATCTCTGAAAATTCGTGGCCTCGCGGGCTCGCGAGTCGCGGCTGTCGCCCAAAGCCGAAGAGGCAGAGTGGCAGGCTGTGCACCTAAGGCGGCTTTCGTAAATGTGGACGGATTTATGAGGCGTGTTGTGAATACAAATAGAATAAACTGCATTCCATGTACTATTTAGTGGTTCTGAACTCAAGTTGGGATGATGTTGTTTAGAGGATTCTATGCAAAAAGGCCTTCATGGCAAGCGGCATTATCAGCGGTCACCTCCACTCAGCGCCGCATTTCATCTAGAGTCTATCAAGTTGAAAAAACCGCATCGATATCTAGCAGAAATAAGTATGTGGACATATTGCATATAGGAGTTGACTTAAACAGTTTTGATATTGGGTATGACGATGTCATCTGCAATCGCATAAAGGGCGACACTCTGTGGTAGTAATGTATAGCGTTCATTCTTGTTGGTTGATTGGAGAACATTTACAACCTTTCCACACAAGTCTCACAAAATGGTATGAACGTGACTTCTATTAATATGCATGTCAGTATATATCGAACATGAATACATTTCCTTTGTCTATAGGGATGAATACAGTCAGCCCTACACACACACACACACACACACACACACACACACACACACACACAC